TCAAGAAAAAGTCATTGGTTATTTTAGTAAGACCTTGTCAAAACCGGAAAGGAACTACTCTGTAACCAGACGAGAATTACTAGCAGTAGTTAAAGAAGTGGAACACTTCTACAAGTATCTCTATGGAAGAAAGTTCTTGTTAAGAACAGACCATGCTGCTTTGAAATGGCTTTGCAGTTTAAGAATCCTGAAGGGCAGGTAGCTAGATGGATTGAAGGATTACAAGAATTTGACTTCGACACAGAACATCGAACTGGGGCAATCCATCGGAATGCCGACGCACTTTCCAGAAGACCTTGCGCTAAGGACTGTAAGCATTGTTCCCGAGCAGAAGAGAAAGAAGCGAAACTCCTAAGAACAACTGTGGTTAATGATAGTTGGCAACCCGAAGATCTTGCAAATGACCAAACCAGTGACCCAGAATTAGGTTTAGTAATTAACTGGAAAAACGCAGGCCAAAGACCAACGTGGGAAGAAGTTTGCAGATATTCGCCGAACGTAAAGTGTACTGGGCCCAGTGGAATTCCTTGGTAATAGATAACGGACTACTTCGCCGTGTGATCGAGAGACCGGAGGGACAAGAAGAGAGAAGGCAGATCGTCATTCCAAAGAAGAGGGTCCCAGAAGTCTTGGAGGAAGTTCACAATGGAACCAGCGGAGGACATCTTGGTGTTACCAAGACACTTGGCAAGCTGCGTGAACGGTTCTACTGGGTGAACTGCAAAGAAGATGTGAGGGCCTGGTGTAAGAAATGTGACATTTGCGCAGCCATTAATGGGCCACAAAAGCGTGGTAAAGCCCCTATGCGCCAGTACAATGTTGGTAGTCCCTTCGAACGAATAGCGATCGACGTGGCTGGATTACTTCAGCAAATGGGTCGAGGCCTACGCGTTGCCAAATCAAGAAGCGTCCACGATTGCTGATGCCCTTGTTAAAGAATGGATCTGCAGGTTTGGTGTTCCCATGGAGCTTCATTCAGATCAGGGAAGAAACTTTGAGTCCAATCTGTTCCAAGGCGTCTGTGAAGTCCTGAACATCCGCAAGACCAGGACGACTGCTCTACATCCACAATCCGATGGGATGGTTGAACGCATGAACAGAACTATCAACCGTTATCTGGCCAAAGTAGTCTCTGACCACCAAAGAGACTGGGACAAATTTCTTCACCTGTTCCTGTTGGCCTACCGTTCATCCGTCCAAGAATCTACAGGGCAAACTCCAGCCAGCATCGTTATGGGACGGGAAGTGCGCCTACCCTGTGATCTGAAATTTGGTTGCCGACCGGGAGAAGAAGTCGCCGGAGAAGATTATGTCCACACACTACGTCAAAGGATGGACGACATTCATCAGAGAGTCCGCCTAAATATTCAAAGTGCTAGTGACCGAATGAAGGAACACTACGACATTCAAGCTGAGCATGGAGGATACCAACCAGGGAAGTTGGTGTGGCTATATAACCCGCAGAGACGTCGTGGGTTATCTCCGAAGCTACAATCCTCGTGGGAAGGGCCATACGAAGTCATGGATAGAATTAATGACGTCGTATACCGTATCAGAAAATTGCCAAAAGGAAAACCGAGGGTAGTCCATTTCAACCGTTTGAGCCCCTACCAAGGCGAAATAGAAGATCGTGCTGGGACCGTGAGAACCTGCAGCTTTGATCCCCCTGATTCGGAGATGTCCTTTGACGATTTCATGGCCCGATACAACAGCAGTGAGAAGGCTCGCTATGGTGTAACCAAAGAAGATCAACGAGACCTCTTTTCCGTGCCTCCTGATTATTCGCTCGCTCATTGTGTGGCTCGAGATTTGCGGATGTCCAGAGGAATCGCTGCGACGTTCAATGAGAAGTTTGGGCGTGTCGGAGAACTACGCCGACAGGATCCAGAGGTTGGAAGCGTCTTGAGGCTAACCGACAATGCACATGGTCAAGCAAGGCACATCTTCTACCTGGTCACCAAGGAATGGTCCCCGAGTAAGCCGACTTATCTCAATCTATGGAAGACCCTGATTGAACTGAGAGAAGCCCTGCTAAACAACAACATTGCACGATTAGCCATTCCGAAGCTGGCGTGTGGACTCGATGGTTTGAGTTGGCGTACAATCCGGAACATGATTGAAGTCTTGTTCAGATTTACGGGAATCGAGATCCTCGTTTGCTGCTACAACCCAAAGCTGAGATCGGGAGAGAAAACTGTAGACTGCTATTTCTACCAGACTTCGCAATGTACCAGGGGCCAGCTTTGCAAATACCTTCATTCACCGTATACATCTCGGGACGAGCATGTGCCTAAGAAGGGGGCAGTGTTGCGAGCCGGTGTGAACTCGACCTAACCTCACAATATGGCCCGCCCTCGGATGACCTTAACATCGCATAGACACCGCAATGATTCATTCGTTCGAGAAGAATCGAGACCCACTAGAATGGACGCGTACATACGAGAACATTCGGAAACCTTCTCTATGCGCCTAACGATCTTTGGACTATTCTAGATTTCTTTTACCTGTCGGTATAAAAGCCGGCGGCAGTGGCCTAGAGAGGGCAGTTATAAATATACCAGTGCAGTTGACGCGCGAAAATTCAAAATAAATTCTTAGTTATAAATCGTTTGTAAATAGTTCTATAAGTCTTTTATCGTTATTGTTTTTGTTAATTAGTGTTAAATAAATAGTGTTTAAATAAATTGTGACTTTCTATCCACACAGAACCGACGAAAAACGTAACAATACCGATAAATCATAAAGATACAGTTAAATATTCGAACTTTTCAGGATTAGAGATGCCTACTTCCATCTCACTTAAAGAGAAAATTGCATAACTCCATATAAAATTAAAATGAGAATTGCCTAACTCCATATAAATTTAAAATGAAAATTGTCTAACTCCATATAACCTTAAAATGAAAATTGCTTAAGCCCTGCCTAATTTTTTAGGAGCTTTACACTACCTATAACTACCAATAATAAACCATCTATATATTTTATACATTTCCTTCACTTACCTGAACTATATAATAATAATTCCCAGGAACTATTTCACTTTAAAACTGTAAAATAATAGGTTAACGTAGCAAGCGTTATAGACACCTGATAAACAACGGACATACGCATATTTCACTCTATCCTAAACGTCATCGGACTTGCGCAGTTTTCATACAGCTGTATTATGGTGCCATCTAACAATTTTCTAATAAACTTTCTGTGCCAGTCTATTCGTATTTTAATTCTTGACAACATGGTGTCAAAAGTCCAATTTCACTAAAAAATGGACTTACGCAATTTTCACATGACGCCGACGATATATAGATGTTGGCTCCTATGGTAAAGAATCGGATTCTACAATATTCAGAAACTGTTCCTTATTTACAAAATTAGAAGAAGGCACCTTAAATATTCCAAAACCACAGGAAGTAGCAGGTATGCCATATGTAATCGTTGGCGATGAGGCTTTTGGACTGACAAATAACTTAATGCGACCTTATCCTGGAAAAGAATTAACAAAAAGGAGAAGAATTTTTAACTACCGTTTGTCTAGAGCAAGAGGTAAGGTAGAGTGTTCCTTCGGTATTTAAGTTACAAGTGGCGTATATCCACCGAGCCATGAATGTGTCTGAGGAAACCGCAGTAGCAATCATAAAAACATGCTGCGCAATACACAATTTTGTTCGTGTAAGGGATGACTTTAAATTTGAGGATACTTTAACAGTAACAGGTTTATATAAAATTTAAAGGAACCAACAAGAAAACCGTGGATAGAAGTCCGCTTGCAAATATAGAGATGCTCTCGCCGATTTTAGCAGCACTGCAGGGGCTGTTTCATGGCAGGACACCAAGATATAATTATATGTACAGTACCGGCCAAAAGTGGAGAAACTTTTAATATTTTTACTATGTCAAAATACAGTTTACTTTCTGCAGAATAGGATATCAAGAAAATATTTCGCATTTAATCTGCTTTGTATAGCCATATAAAAACTGCTTATTTTGTGAATAAATTTGCAGGCAAAAAATTATTTACAAATTCCAGCGGACAGGTGGAGAAACCTTATCTTCTTCTTAACATTCTATGAGATATTCTCTTGTTAAAGCGTCTAGATCGTGGTATTGGGTTTACAGAGCGTTAAAAATGTGCCGCGCGGGATAAATTTTTCAGATCAAATAAAAAAAATCATAATTGAGAAGTATCATTCGGGAATTAAACAAACTGATATTGCTAGACACTTAAATTTACATAAAAGTGTTGTGTGCAAACAGATTAATTTGTATAGAAGTCGTGGGACAACTGCCAGTATATCCAAGCACGGAAGACCGAAAAAACAACTTTGGCGACAGATAAAATAAAAAGAAGATATTCACTTAGAAATCCATTTTGCACTGCGGAGGATATAAGGAACGAATATCCCTTTATTTCAATATCTGTTAGGTCCATTAGACGGCGTCTAAAACAGGCACAACTAAATGCCAGAAGACCTACCCGAAAGTCGTTTTATTTATAAGAAAAATAGGCAGGCCCGACTACAATTTGCATTGGAACATGCAAATTGGACCCACAAGCAGTGGAAAAAGGTACTCTGGTCGGACGAAAGCAAGTACAATCTATTTAGTTCGGATGGTATTGCAGTTTTCCTCATTGAGCCGTCCTCATGAAATAACGAGGCAGGAGTAGGAGTTAATTCGAATGATAACATATTTTTGAAATCAAGTTCTTTAAATTGAGCAGCACTTATAATTATTCTTCTAAACATACCCTGGATTGCAAAATAAAACACTAAAATCACCACAATACACCAAAACACTTTTACTTTTACACTGGACGCACGTTTCGCTAACCATGTTAGCATCATCAGCAGATGATTAAGACTGATCTAGTCTTACAGTCTACAGGCTAACATGGTTAGCGAAACGCGCGTTTAGTGTAAAAGTAAAAGTTATTTTTATTAGTTAGTTTTGGTGTATTGTGGTGATTTTAGTGTTTTATTTTGCTGTGTAACACCAAAGGTTCCAACCCCCAACTGTAATACTCTGGATTTATAACAGTTTTTGACTTTGTTTTCTCGTAACCAATGTTACTGGCATTAAAGAAAATAATTGGATTACGCGACACGGCTTTCCAGAAACTGGCTTGCCCGTGAGTTGTAAGCCATTCTTGGCCAGCTAACATTTTTTTGCAATTTCTCTGGTTAAAACAAGTGCTGGTTCCATTCGTTGGTCAACGTCGCTTATTTGTACTTAATACGGTTCTGTACTGACTGCATGTTTTACGCGATTTTCCCTCTTCTCGGACAGTTTATTGTATTGATGAAAACTCCCTTTTCACTTTAGGCTTCATGCTTGAAAATAACCAAAATCTCATAAAAATCAGTCTGAACTCTGCAATATGACGTCGAAAAGAGGCTACTGTCCGACCTCTCAAATATACCAAATTTAGCGTTGACCGGTGCACAGACGGGTATTTTACCATTCTAGCTGGCCAAAAGTCGATTATAAAAAGTATAAAATGTACCAAAAAAATTATCAGACGGTTTCGACAAATGATCAGAGATCGCTTTTTTGTGGGTTTTGCTAATGTTAAAATAAATTTAGTTTCTCTTTATCAGTCTAAACTTCGTCTTTGTGTCGAGTATATTTAGCGATTTTTATTTGAATTTAAGTTTATATATTCCTTACGTTTTAGTGCTACGTATAGTGTATTAATTCTCTAGGAAATAATGGAAGGTGATGAAGCAGGTAAACGACTATTAGCATAACACAGCTTTATTTATCCTGGAGATATTTTCAATATTTTTTATGCATCAAACCGATCTTTGTTCATTCTTGAAATTTTCATCTATTTTTTTTTTCGTTAAGAGAATTAATTTATTTCCGGGCACAATTATGGAATTAATTTTGTGGCAAAAATATTCTACAAGATTGTAGTTTCTGACAGTAAAAAAAACTATTCCACATATTTCCCCCCTTTTCGAAGAAATTTATAAGAAAATTAAAAACTACAAAACTTTGTTTTCAGAAATATTTTATTTTAGTTTACAACATAGATTTTCTGTTACTTTAGGTTGCTCCAATGTAAAACTTTTTACCCGATTGAAGTTGTACAACTTAATGAGAAGACAGAACTTACCAACTTTCAATGACAAATTGAACTATTTAGAAAATTATCTTCTATCTGTTGAATCATTTTGTGGTGAAGAAAGGCTTTTTATAAAACAAAAGTTTTCTCATGAAAAATTTGAATTTAAAAGGCGTTGGGTGGCTGCTCATTACACAGAAGAAAGATTTTTGGAAAAAAATAACTTATGGTTGCAAGGAGTTTTCGGAATTCCTAAGCCATAATTCCTAAGGGCCACTTCAGGAAGGCCAGAAAAAGCCTTTTCAGACTTAAGAGGCGAAAGACCGACGAGTTGAGGGGTAAATTTAGCCCGGAAATTATAGGCTATGTTACTCAGATGCAGCTAAGATCGGAAGGCCATTAAAACGCTAAGCCAAAAAGTTATGTTGTAAGGGAACTAATCAGTAATCCCGCAAAAGGCACCGAGTATAAAAACGCTATAATTGGAAAAGAGCAAAAAAGGACGATTTGCGCATTTCTCCTTTAAATGCGTTGTCAATGCTGGTGGAAGCAGATCTATCAAGGCGTCAATATGAAATTATTAGAAGTACAAACAAAATGTTTTATCCCTGTTATAGTCTAGTCTGTTATAGAAAGATTGTTACCCAAATAAAAGTGCATTTAGGGTAACCGAAACTTGTGCTGAAATTAGATTACAAGATCTAATGTATCATACAGTTTTACGATTACTCACTTATCTTGAGGACGTTTTGGAATTGCTAAGTGAACAAGAATGTACAAATCTAGTTTTGATATGTAAATGGGGATGTGACGGATCCCAGCAGTCACAATTTAAACAAAAGTTTAGTTGCGAGGAAGATTCTGACTGTAATATCTTTCAAAGTTCTTTTGTACCAGTCAAGCTTATATGTGACTTGAACCAAAATGTGATTTGGCAAAATCCGACGCCATCATCCCCTATATTTTGTCGACCAATTAGAATTCGTTTTATAAAGGAGTCTGTAGATATTACCAAAGAAGAAATATGTTTTGTAGAAAATTCGTATCTATAATGGCCGTACCTATAGTCCGATCTCAATCTCAGACTTGAGTCGAACTTAGCCAAGCCTTACTCAGTATATTGAGATTCCGTCTCTACTATAGTCAAACCTTCGGGTATTCTCGGCGAAGCAAAGCTTGAGCAAACGATGTCTAGTAACATTTGTGTTTTTAGTAACAATTCTAGTGATTTTTGAAATGTAATATTTGAAACACTGCGTAAACATAACCAATATTTTATAATTTTCCAACTCGTCTTTTTACTTTTGTCTTTTGTCTGCCTTTTCCTGTGTGTTTCTGATTTTGATTGTGTTTTGCCGTTTTTGTTATAATTATAAATGGATCAAGACGATATTGACGATTTCCGAGAGTATCTCGACTATTTGGAAGAGGTAGTCGAAAATGAAAGAGTGCCCAAAAGGTATATTCGAGATGCCGAAAATCCTATTGACTTTTACAACGACAAAGATTTTCGATACCGATACCGTTTTTCAAAAGCTATTGTTCTGGAGGTTACACTACCACGCATTATACATCGTTTAGTACGAGTTAATAACCGAGGCTTACCCATATCACCCTTAATACAGCTATTAACTTGTTTACGCTATTATGGAACAGGAGATTTTCAGGTAAGTGGTCTTTTTTGTATAATCAATGTTTATAATCAATATTAATTTTCTAGACGGTTAGTGGGGATTTACGAGGAATAAGTCAACAATCGGTATTCCTTATAATAAGAAGGATTTCGGAGGAAATATGTAGGCTTTTGTCTGAATATATTCAGCATCCTGGCTTAGAACAAAAGCGACGAAACGTACGGTTGTTTCAGGCAATAGCTGGATTTCCTGGGGTGGCAGCATGCATAGATTGTACACACATAAAAATCGTTAACCCAGGAGGCGATAATGCTGAAGTTTTCAGAAATCGCAAAGGCATCTTCTCCTTGAATGTTCAAGTGAGTCAGAAACATTAATTATTATTAATTATTTTTAAAATATGTACTAATTTAGGTTGCAATTGGTCCTCAGATGGAAATGTTGGATATTGTTGTCAGACATCCCGGATCAGTTCATGACAGTGTCTTCGATAGAAGTGCTCTTCGAGTATTTTGTGAAAGAGGACAAATGGGTGGCTTTCTTTTGGGGGATAATGGATATCCTTGTCGACCATACTTGCTGACACCAATAATTCATCCAGGCAAGTAATTCTGTCATAGAGATCTGCTTATAATATATATTTTTAATTTGTGGCTTTCAGGTAATGTACGTGATGAACGCTACAACAGAGCTCACAAGAGTACAAGAAACATTGTTGAACGTGTGTTTGGTGTTTATAAACGAAGGTTTCCATGCTTGTATAGAGGTCTGACAACAAAATTAGAAACAACCCAAGCAATAATTTATGCTACAGCAACTTTATATAATTTAGGTGTAAAATGTAAGGACAACTTTATTTTTGAGGACGAGGTGGCTGAGAATATAGATGATGATATTGGCAATAATTAATGTTCCGTTGGATCAGTTAGGGTTAGGTTTTAGAAATGAATTTATACAAAATCATTTTTAGTATTATTTTTTGTTTGTTAATAGTACTGGTAGTATATTCAACCAGTGTTTTTTTTTAAATATTAATTGTAGTAAGAATGTGTTGGTTTTAAAATTTCCTTATGCTTTTTATAAATATGTTATAAGCATTACTTTAATTTGTGTTTAAATTTTTGTGGTTAAAATGATGATAGAAATATAGTCAAATTGTTCGATTTTTAATATTATTAGTACTATAATATTACTTGTTAATTAAAATAAAACAATAAAGTTTTATGGTAATCTATTTAGATGTTTTTATTTTTAAACAACTCCATATGAAGCATAGCTAGCTCAGCCTCTATCTCAGCCTTTTTTCGCAATGCTGTGGCTGTCCGCAGGTTTTCTTCCTCTACTTTTTTCCTTAGAACAGCTGCCTGCATGTTTTCCTCCTCAATTTTTTGTCGAACACTATGTAGTTGGGAGTTGTTGTTGAGGGCTCTCCTCCACCTTCCTCATCCTTAAGTCTGCCTCTTTTTGGGCAGCCCGACCTTGTCGCCCTGTAACACAATTATTAAAATCAAGACCATACGAGAATATTGTATATAATTTATTTACCAGTTTCACTAGCCGTTTGTTTGGCAGCACATAAAGGATGGTCAGCTGTGAAGGTGGTCTTTGGAGTAGCAGCGACCATTTTTTTAATGCTCAACCCTAAAAAACAAATTAAATTAAAATCAAGCTAAGCATAACTTACTTTAGAATTACCAGAAGTGGAGGGATAAATATCCTCTGGTTCTGGTTCTGGTTCCCTCCCCTTTTTCCACAACCACTTCAATGACTTCATAGTCTAAAAATAAATATAATAATTAGACAAATGTATTACAATTAATAAGTTAATAAAGAAAATTTCTATAAAAGATTATCGGTTTCAAAGAAAATATAACAAACGTACTTTGCATTGTAGCATGTGATGTTTCCTCTGCTTGCTGTCTCTCGTAGACGCCTGTCATATCCCATTTACAGGACATCATCACATCTGCATGTGGTGCCGCCACGCTAACTGCTTCCATCACAGGGTCCTGTGACTCGGAAGGCTCTGGACCTCCACCAGTAACGAGGCGCTGGTATTTCACCTCCGTATTAGCCTTCCTTTTCCTAAAAAATATAAATATATTTGCATTTATTATGACTATAACATTTTTACAAAAATTAAAGTTTTTGAAAAGGTTATAACATAATAAAGTATACAAAGAGAACCATATAGTAATAAATATAAACTTTAATCAATTTTCAAAAAAGGTACCTTTATTTTAAATTATTCCACAGCTTTTTAGCTGTGTAGCAGTGCGTCTGACGGTAATCATTGTGGCCTGGGCGTTGTACTCCGCAGCAATTTTGTCCCACGCGCGCTGCTTCTGATGGAGGTTGCTGGCATCAGTTTTTTTGTTTTCCAGCACAAGTTTGTACTTGTCCACTAGATTCGCCAACAACAACTTTTCATGGTTGGTGTATGGCGTCCTTTCACTTGCTACAAAATTATAATGCTATAATAAAATATTCTTTTCTAAAATCTTGAATTTACCTAAACTCATTATAACACACAGAATAGAAATAAAGGTAAAATAAAAAACAACTAAAGACAACAGACAACTAAATTTGAGAAACAACTCTGGAAACAACTGATCGGTTTGGCAGTTGGCGTAAGAATGACGCGTCGCGTCGCAGCACAGAGCACAGCTAAACAAATCAACAAAGAAAATAAATTGTTAAGCTGTGGTTTTTGTCCCAAATATTGCTCTGTGGCAATACTTAAGCAAGGTGCTTGCCGTTCTTGAGTACGTCTCAAGTTACATATGCACAGTTTGTCGCTTTCTTGACCAAGTCTCGTCTATAGTACGCATTTTTCATCTAAGGCCATGCTCAAGCCTGAGATCGACTCAAGTACCGACTATAGATACGGCAATAAGTCACTTCAAATTACCGACATTTTACTAAAAAATAAGAAGTTCTGGGAAGGAGATGAAACAATGGATACATTTGAAGAGGAAATATATTCTTCATCCTCCGATCTCTAATGGAATATCTTATTTCTGTATATCTTACATCTTATTCTTACTTCTGATAAATAACTTGGGCAATTTTATATTTTTTTCAGGTTCCATAGTAAGTAGTCATGCCATTACTATCCAGGTAGTAAGTTAAACACTGCTTCTTTTTCTTTAAATTAGCCTAATTTAGCATCAAGTTTTATATAACACCCAAAAACCCTATTTGATAATTTTGGCCAGCTGGAATGTTAAAATACCTGTATGTGCGGTGGTCGGACAACTTTTATTTCCTTTGATCTGCGTGTGTGTTGAGTTTTTGCTGTCCGGCCACTAAACACTGCCAAAAACTCATGTTTCATTATATTTCAAACGAAAAAGACAGCCAATATTACATATCAATTACCAAGAAAAAGAGTTATTTTTCCAGTTAAAAAGAGTTATGGACTTAAGACAAAATTATATATGAATTTATCGGACACCTCAATTTAACATTAAAATATTAAAAAGTATCCTTTTTTGTTATTTGAAATAAAAGTTTAGACTATTTTACATACACGTAAAGTTATATAATATGTACTTCATCAATTAGATACAAAGTTTTTAATTTACCCTGACAAACTATAAAAAATGTCTATATCTATATGGCGGATTCATCTCTCCAAAAAATCCTATATGGGTTTTTGGCCAATGCAAGAAAATCTAAAAAATAAAATAGTTATTTTATTTAAACACTTCTGCGTTAATCCCAAACGGAAACTACTTGTCAGAAGTTAGGTTAACAGATATACAAATTTGCCTAACGAACAAAAAAATAAACTTCTGCTTAACGTTTCGGAAAGTTTATCTCTTTCCGTCGTCGGAAGCAAAAAAATACAAAGAACAAAGAAAAAAACTATTGAAAATATTTAAATTCAACTATTCGAGAACAGTTTAGTTTTTTAAAACAGATACGTCTACAAAAACCGTTGACGTTCTGTTAAAAGGACATTATATCAAGGTAAACTTCAAAATTAGCAATTACTACCTGATAACAATTACTTAATAAGGTAAAACCAAAAAGTCCAGACTTTCTGTATGATTATTTTTAATTTTTACGTATGTTATGTTCTTTAAAATCAAAAAAGCGATTGCCATACATTACTAACATCTACAGATGCATGAGCAATACATTTATTTTTATTAGATTGTATTAAAAAAAGCCTCTTTTATTTTTCTTTTAGAGGCTATCGCTTCTTTCATTATAATTTTGGCGTTATTAAAATTTATTTTTGACGAACTATCTCACCTCCATCTTTAACAGACAAAAATTAGGAAGTACAAACATGTGGTCACTTTCCAGAATTTTTAACTGTTCAGGGTGACAATTTAGGCAAAGAAAATGTTATAGAACAAAGCGGAAGAATTGGTAGAATTAAGTTTTTAATTATTTGAAGGCAATAGGTACTAAGCCATATTTTTAACTTATTTCCCAATAAATACGTTTTGTCCGACCACTGCACAGTGGTTTCCAGATAGGTCATTACTTAGAAATATTAATTTCAAAATGTTTGCATGAAACTGTTGCTAATACTTTCCTTATATTACCCTGTAAATGATACATAATAAATAACAAAATCAAGTAAGCCTAGTGCAGCGCTTTTTTTTATTAGAAATGTCACATTTTTGCTACTGGTATCAAGCTGACATAAACAGTTTTCAGATAACGCTAATTAATTACTTATTTTATTTAAATTGATAAAAGCTGTTGCCTTTTCTGTAATGGACGTTCGAAAAGAAGGTAAAAAACTGTTTTTTCTTTTTTGCACTTAATTAAACCTAAGTAATATTAGTTTATGGCAATTTATTTGAAGGCAACAAAAATAGTATTTTTACATTTTTGCTTGTCACTTTTTAAGACTTTTAACTACTTTCCCTTTCAAATCCTCTTAAACGGCATGATAATACTTGTTGCTTAAAGTATATTGCATATAAATTAATTGCCACTGGCTGCCGCGAATTGCCGCCGGATCTTATACCGGGTGGTTATATCGGGTGGTTTTTGGCTTTTTGTCTTAAAATAAAAATAACTTATTTTTTCCTCTTCGTGTCAACTTATTTCGTGGACACACTGTATATCAATTGACAATAAAATTCTTCTTCTTCTAGTGCAGATCCATTAATGGATGTTTGCGATAACATTTTCCATTGCTTCTCTGTTCCGGGCGGTGTGTATTAACGACTGAACATCGAGTAGCCCTGTCCACTGTCTAATATTCCTCAGCCAAGACATTTTCTTCCTTCCGATACCCCGAATAAAATTGTATTTATAAAATGAAACAACTGTCTCTTTTATTTTTTCAACATTTAAAATAAATTTGACCTCTTCAATATGAAAAAAACATGTCATATGTGCCATCTGTATACCTTTCCGAATAGTTAGAACTTAAAATGCAAATCACCCGAACTGGGCCCAGTTTTTTTAATACAAATTACATTAAGTTTTTTATATACATTTATTTAGCATTTGTTATCAATTTCTATTAAAAAAAGTGCAGTCAAGTTATATCTAGATATCTAACAGTTATGACCGCGCAGCTCATTAAGGGGAACCACTGTGCACTGGTGTATGTTCGGCTACTGGCGTATTCACCCTATATTTGAATACCTTTTCCAAATTTTATATTACACGACTTTTATGACTCACTGTATTCATAATTTACCATTGGCTTTGCTATCTCGGTAAGGAACGCTTGCGTACAAACAAAAACCGGCCCGTTGTAAGCCGGTATCTAAAGGCCCCAATTATACCGTTACAATAGAAACGAAAAACCGACGGTCGGGACAAGAGTGTCTGAGTCGCAGTGGCAGTTACGAGCACGTGGTCGGCATGGACGACAATTTTGCCCGCCAATGAACGATTAATTTGAATTTCCGGAACTAAAAAGCGCCGAAAAAAATGACGAAAAAAGTCGGGTCTAAGGAAAACTCTTCTTCCGGCGAAGAAGAGTTCAAAATGAAGAAAGAACTGACGTTGTTGGACGGTGTCGCGATTATAGTGGGTGTTATAGTAGGATCGGGAATTTTTGTGTCTCCTAAGGGAGTACTGAAGTACTCTGGATCAGTGGGAATGGCTATAATTGTGTGGGTATTGTCGGGGATATTGTCGATGCTGGGCGCTCTCTGCTATGCAGAACTAGGTATGTTTTTATTCGCAATTTAAACTAATATCACTTTATTAACCCACTTGTTTAACACTTGCTAATATTTGTAGCTTTTTATTGTTAGTCGAAAAAAATATCTGTAATTATACTTTTTTTTTGTTCGTTAATTACTTATTAATTATTGCTAATATCAGATTTATTTATGAAGTAGTTTCATGCAGGAATATTCTAAAATTGGGTTGTTCTATTATAACAAATTTATTCATTGCATCATTTAAGAAGTTGAATTTATTGTTATATATGCAGATAATGTATACAACCCAAAAAGAGTTTTTAACCGTCTGATAACATACATGAAAAATTGCATCATACGTAACGAAAGGTTTCTTTTATGTAATAAACATTTTCTATTAATGTAATAATAATAAATAGGGTGTTTTATAATGTATTATCCAAATTCGGGTGTATACAAATTGCAATTAAACTAAACAATTTTTATTTTTTTTTTTTTAGAAAAAAGGATCGTATATAGAACTATAATATAATTTTAATGATAATTTAATTATATTATTAAATTTACTTATACTTAATTAGCTTTTTTACGAGCATGTGGTCGGTATGGATGACAATTTTGTCCGACAATGAACGATTAATTTGAATTTTCGGTACTAAAAGCGCCGAAAAATGACGATAAAAGTCGGGTCTAAGGAAAGCTCTACTTCCGGCGAAGAAGAGTTCAAAATGAAGAAAGAACTACGTTGTTGGACGGTGTCGCGATTTTAGTGGGTGTTATAGTAGGATCGGGAATTTTTGTGTCTCCTAAGGGAGTACTAAAGTACTCTGGATCAGTGGGAATGGCTATAATTGTGTGGGTATTGTCGGGGATATTGTCGATGCTGGGCGCTCTCTGCTATGCAGAACTAGGTATGTTTTAATTCGGAATTTAAACTAATATCACTTTATTAACCCACTTGTTTAACACTTGCTAATATTTGTAACTTTTTATTGTTAGTCGAAAAAAATATCTGTAATTATACTTTTTTTTGTTCGTTAATTACTTATTAATTATTGCTAATATCAGATTTATTTATGAAGTAGTTTCATGCAGGAATATTCTAAAATTGGGTTGTTCTATTATAACAAATTTATTCATTGCATCATTTTAGAAGTTGAATTTATTGTTATATATGCATATAATGTATACAACCCAGAAAGAGTTTTTAACCGTCTGATAACATACATGAAAAATTGCATCATACGTAACGAAAGGTTTCTTTTATGTAATAAACATTTTCTATTAATGTAATAATAATAAATAGGGTGTTTTATAATGTATTATCCAAATTCGGGTGTATACAAATTGCAATTAAACTAAACAATTTTTATTTTTTTTAGAAAAAAGGATCGTATATAGAACTATAATATAATTTTAATGATAATTTAATTATATTATTAAATTTACTTATACTTAATTAGCTTTTTTTACGAGCATGTGGTCGGTATGGATGACAATTTTGTCCGACAATGAACGATTAATTTGAATTTTCGGTACTAAAAGGCGCCGAAAAAATGACGATAAAAGTCGGGTCTAAGGAAAGCTCTACTTCCGGCGAAGAAGAGTTCAAAATGAAGAAAGAACTGACGTTGTTGGACGGTGTCGCGATTTTAGTGGGTGTTATAGTAGGATCGGGAATTTTTGTGTCTCCTAAGGGAGTACTAAAGTACTCTGGATCAGTGGGAATGGCTATAATTGTGTGGGTATTGTCGGGGATATTGTCGATGCTGGGCGCTCTCTGCTATGCAGAACTAGGTATGTTTTTATTCGCAATTTAAACTAATATCACTTTATTAACCCACTTGTTTAACACTTGCTAATATTTGTAACTTTTTATTGTTAGTCGAAAAAAATATCTGTAATTATACTTTTTTTGTTCGTTAATTACTTATTAATTATTGCTAATATCAGATTTATTTATGAAGTAGTTTCATGCAGGAATATTCTAAAATTCGGTTGTTCTATTATAACAAATTTATTCATTGCATCATTTTAGAAGTTGAATTTATTGTTATATATGCAGATAATGTATACAACCCAAAAAGAGTTTTTAACCGTCTGATAACATACATGAAAAATTGCATCATACGTGACGAAATTTTTCTTTTATCTAATAAACACTTTCTATTAATGTAATAATAATAAATAGAGTGTTTTATAATGTATTATTCAAATTCGGGTATATGCAAATTGCAACTGAACTAAACAATTTTTTTTTTGGAAAAAAGTTTCGTATATAGAACTATAATATAATTTAATTATATTATTAAATTTATTTATACTTAATTAGCTTTTTTACGAGCATGTGGTCGGCATGGATGACAATTTTGCCCGCCAATGAACGATTAATTTGAATTTCCGGAACTAAAAAGCGCCGAAAAAAATGACGAGAAAAGTCGGGTCTAAGGAAAACTCTTCTTCCGGCGAAGAAGAGTTCAAAATGAAGAAAGAACTGACGTTGTTGGACGGTGTCGCGATTATAGTGGGTGTTATAGTAGGATCGGGAATTTTTGTGTCTCCTAAGGGAGTACTTAAGTACTCTGGATCAGTGGGAATGGCTATAATTGTTAGGTATTGTCGGGGATATTGTCGATGCTGGGCGCTCTCTGCTATGCAGAACTAGGTATGTTTTTATTCGCAATTTAAACTAATATCTCTTTATTAACCCATTTGTTTAACACTTGCTAATATTTGTAACTTCTTATTGTTAGTCCAAAAAAATATCTGTAATTATACTTTTTTTTGTTCGTTAATTACTTATTAATTATTGCGAATATCAGATTTATTTATGAAGTAGTTTCATGGAGGAATATTCTAAAATTGGGTTGTTCTATTATAACAAATTTATTCATTGCATAATTTTAGAAGTTGAATTTATTGTTATATATGCATATAATTGTATACAACCCAGAAAGAGTTTTTAACCGTCTGATAACATACATGAAAAATTGCATCATACGTGACGAAAGTTTTCTTTTATGTAATAAACACTTTCTATTAATGTAATAATAATAAATAGAGGGTTTTATAAAGTATTATTCAAATTCGGGTATATACAAATTGCAACTGAACTAAACAATTTTTATTTTTTTTAGAAAAAGGTTTCGTATATGGAACTATAAAATAATTTAATTATATTATTAAATTCACTTATACTTAATTAGCTTTTTTACGAGCATGAGTTCGGCATGGTCGACAATTTTGCCCGCCAATAAACGGTTAATTTGAATTTTTGGAACTAAAAAATACCGAAAATACCGAATTTTCGGATCTGAAAAGCACCGAAAAAAAATACGAAAAAAGTCGGGTCTAAGGAAGACTCTTCTTCCGGCGAAGAACAGTTCAAAATGAAGAAAGAACTGACGTTGTTGGACGGTGTCGCGATTATAGTGGGTGTTATAGTAGGATCGCGGGAAATTTTGTGTCTCCTAAGGGAGTACTGAAGTACTGTGGATCAGTGGGAATGGCTATAATTCTGTAGGTATTGTCGGGGATATTGTCGATGCTGGGCGCTCTCTGCTATGCAGAACTAGGTATGTTTTTATTCGCAATTTAAACTAATATCACTTTATTAACCCACTTGTTTAACACTTGCTAATATTTGTAGCTTTTTATTGTTACTCGAACAAAAACTATCTATAATTATACTTTTTTTCTGCTGGTTAATTACTTACTAATTATTAATAATATCAGATTTGTTTATGAAGTATTTTCATGCAGGAATATTTTAAAATTTGGATGGTCTGTGATAACAAATTTATTCATTGCATCATTTTAGAAGTTGAATTTATTGTCATATAATGTATAAAACCCAAAAAGAGTTTTTAACCGTCTAATAACATACATGAATAATTGCATGATACGTGACGAAAACGTTCTTTTATATAATAAACACTTTCTGTTAATGTAATAATATTAAATAAAGTGTTTTATAATGTATTATTCAAATTTGGTTATATACTGCAATTGAACTAAACAATTTTTATTTTTTAGAAAAAAGGATCGTATATAGAACTATAATATAATTTTAATGATAATTTAATTATATTATTAAATTTACTTATACTTAATTAGCTTTTTTACGAGCATGAGGTCGGCATGGACGACAATTTTGCCCGCCAATGAACGGTTAATTTGAATTTTCGGAACTAAAATATACCGAAAAAAATGACGAAAAAAATCGGGTCTAAGGAAAACTCTTCTTCCGGCGAAGAAGAGTTCAAAATGAAGAAAGAACTGACGTTGTTGGACGGTGTCGCGATTATAGTGGGTGTGAAGCAGGATCGGGAATTGTTGTGTCTCCTAAGGGAGTACTAAAGTACTCTGGATCAGTGGGAATGGCTATAATTGTGTGGGTATTGTCGGGGATATTGTTGATGCTGGGCGCTCTCTGCTATGCAGAACTAGGTATGTTTTTATTCGCAATTTAAACTAATATCACTTTATTAACCCACTTGTTTAACACTTGCTAATATTTGTAACTTTTTATTGTTACTCCAACAAAAACTATCTATAATTATACTTTTTTTCTGTTGGTTCATTACTTATTAATTATTGCTAATATCAGATTTATTTATGTAGTAGTTTCATGCAGGAGTATTCAAAATTTGGGATGTTCTATGATAAAAAATTCATTCATTGCATCATTTTAGAAGTTAAATTTATTATAATATAATGTATACAACGCAAAAAGAGTTTTTAAGCGTCTGATAACATACAAGAAAAATTGCATCATACGTAACGAAAGCTTTTTTCTATGTAATAAATATTTTCTATTAATGTAATAATAATAAATAGGGTGTTTTATAATGTATTATCCAAATTCGGGTATATACAAATTGCAATTAAACTAAACAATTTTTATTTTTTTAGAAAAAAGGATCGTATATAGAACGATAATATAATTTTAATCATAATTTAATTATATTATTAAATTTACTTATACTTAATTAGCTTTTTTTACGAGCATGTGGTCGGTATG